AGTGCAGTTGTGTGATCTAACTCACTGCAACCATGAACTCCTATGCTCGAGTTATCTCCTGGTCTCAGCATCCCAAGCAGCTGCAAGGACTATAGTTGTGTGCCACTACACCTGGCTAATTTTCTATTATTTAAACTTTTTGTAGAGATGGGTCTTGCTCTATTGCCCAGGCTTGGTCTCATATGTCTTGCTTCAAGTGATCCTCCTGCCTCGCCCCCTCAAACAATGTTGGGATTACAGGCATGAGTCACCGCTCCTGGCCTGACTCCAATTTTGAAAGATGTTCTACTGTGGGTAAAACGCTATCGAACAGCATCTAATGCTACAGAGAAATCTTTAGTGAAAGGAAGTCGATCAGTGCAGCAAATTTCATTGTTGTCTTATTTCAATAAATTGCCACAGCCACACCAACCTTAGGACACCACCACCCTGATAAATTAGCAGCCATCGACATCAAAACAGAACCCTTCACCAGCAAAAAGATAAATTTTGGCTGAAGGCTCAGATGATCGGTAGCATTTTTAAGCAATATTTTACAATTAAGGTATGTACATTATTTTTTACAGATATAATGCTACTGCACATTTAAAAGACTACAGTATAGTGGAAACATAACTTTTGCATACACTGGGAAACAAACAAAAAATCCACAATTGTTTTAGTATAGTGGTGGTCTGGAACCAAACCTGCAGTATCTCCAAGTACTTACTGGCTTTCACAATAATGTAAGAAAGACCAAATTAGGTAAAATTCAATATTCTGTTTCCAAATCATGTGTAAGGTCATGATATCCTGAATGATGCCACATTCAAATTGTTCAGGACATGCTCTAAAGCATCCCTGTTTTTCTTCGTAATTTAAAAGCTTTGATCTATCCTTTATCAGCCTTCATTTTTACAGACTAAAGAGATCAAATTATTAAAGTTAGGAAATTTATTCAAAATTCTTGAAACAGACCTTTCTACAAGGTAGTATAAAGTTTTCTAGTCTTAAGCTGATGACTTTAATTTTCATAATTTTAATAAATATTTCCTTGTATAGAAAACTTTCTCTATGGTAGCAATGACTAAAGACACAATTGGCTTAGAACTGCATGTCATTAGAACCAAAGGGAACTCAGAAGTTAAATGCAACTTTTTCCTTTTACAAATGAGGAAACTGAGACTTTAGTGTTGAGAAGTGGCTTTCCTACAGTAAAACAACCAAAAACCTGAGCTAAATCAAACAAAACAGTGCTCTTCAAACTGCAGATCAGGACCAATCAATTAAGTAGGCTGCTATCAGCATTTTAAAAAAGCAGCAGAGTAGAAAGTATCAGAGGCATTTCATGTAGAAAGGATACTGTTTCACAGAACTTTTTAGTTATATGCATATATGAGATCGTAATGTAAAATGCAGTTATTATAGTGGTCAGAAGTTTAGAAGTCATTGCAATAAAATATCTAATATTTTGAGTGGATTTAACAATTTATTCTTAGTCTCACTCTGTTGCCCAGGCTGGAGTGCAGTGGTGTGATCTCAGCTCACTGCAACCTCCGCCTCCCGGGTTCAAGTGATTCTTCTGATTTAGCCTCCGAAGTATCTGGGGTTACAGGTGTGTACCACCATGCCTGGCTAATTTTTGTATTTTTAGTAGAGATGGGGTTTCGGCATGTTGGCCAGGCTGATCTTGAACTCCTGACCTCAGGTGATCCACCAGCCTTAGCCTCCCAAAGTGCTGGGATTACAGGTGTGAGCCACCATGCCTGGCCATAAAAATTTATTCTCATTTTAAAATTATGATAATTAAAATTACTATTATGATACAATTTATTTATCATGACTCATTGTAAGCTAATAATATCTCTCTGCATTAAATACTACATGCCACTATTTAGAAGCAGCAATTTTTTCCTACCTAAAAGAAGACTGGCTCAGGACACTGCATCCCATACCACATGTGAACAGACTTTCTCTAAACTACCACATTTCTGTAGCATTTAAATGTGCAATAGCTAGACAAGCTTTTTAAAATATCAAATTCTAGAATTCTGATCCTGAGCACAGGTAAAAAGATGTCTCTGGAAAAACAGTGACCTCTAGTGGATTTATTAAGTAGCACGGACATAATCCCTGCCCCTAAGAATTTGGAAATTAAGGTAACACAAATGCATCCAGATATAAAAGATACTGATATGGTTATAAACTGACAAGTGTTATATATAATTAAAGGCTATGGTTAAGCTACACAATGAGGCAAATGCATATATATATTCACTGGTTTCTTCTAATCAAGAGGAATATAATGAATAGAATCCTAGTTTCATACAGACCTATCACTAGTTTAAGAAATACACTTAATGAAGGGGTTGGATTAAATCAAGGACCTCTTTACCTTTTAATTATAATCCTTTCCTCTTTAATTCATTTTGTATGCCAATATCAAATTCTGCTCAAAAACATTTGATGGCTCCCCAGTACTTGAGGGTTTACCACACTCAGCCTGGCCCTTTGTTATCTACTGTTATCTTCTATTGTTTCCCAAAATATACCCTTATTTCAGGTGGGCCAATGTTCAATATCCCAACCCATTCCAACAAGATTATTTTCTCACTTTTGCTTGCAGTTTCTCATTATGCAATATCCTAACCTTGCTAATTCCTATAAAAATCAAAGCAAACTTGTTTAATTCATGCTCTACCATCCAGTGACTGTTAAATTCACATGTTGGATTTTATACTTGTATATGTGTATGTGTGTAGCCTGCCAGGTACTAAGCACTTACTGTTCAATTTGAATGTAAATTAAGTCGATTCATTTAGATTAGAGAAATAAAGGCCCTTTTTTATTTTGAGATGAGTCTCACTGTGTCACTAGGCTGGAGTGTAGTGAGTGGTATGACCTTGGCTCACTGCCACCTCTGACTCCCAGGTTCAAGCGATTGTCCTCCTCAGCTCCGCAAGTAGCTGGGACTAGAGGTGGGTGCCACCACACCCAGCTAATTTTTGTGTTTTTAGTAGAGATGGGGTTTCACCATGTTGGCCAGGATGTTCTCAATTTCTGGACCTTGTGATCTGCCCACCTCAGCCTCCCAAAGTACTGGGATTACAGGTGTTAGCCACTGCGTCTGGCACAAAGGCCATTTTCATTATTTTTTTAAAGTGAGGTAGGGAAGGGTATATAGCTAAGGTAGAATTTCAAGAACTGCAAATATAAAGTAAAAGGGCTCAAGTTTTGGGAAAAAGAGAGTGTTCTGAATACAGGATGGTTAAGATTTCAGGAAAAAGAGGAAGACCTGTTTTACTTCATTTTATTTATTTATTTCATTTTTGAGACAGAGTCTCACTCTGTGGCACAGGCTGGAGTTCAGCAGCACGATTTTGGCTCACTGCAACCTCCATATCCCAGATTCAAGTGATTCTCCTGCCTCAGCCTCCTGAGTAGCTAGAGTACAGGTGCCCGCTACCACACCCAACTAATTTTTATATTTTTAGTAGAGACAGGGTAACACCATATTGGCCAGGATGGTCTCAAACTCCTAAGATCAAGTGATCCACCCACCTTGGCCTCCCAAAGTGTGGGGATTAACGGCATGAGCCATTGCACCAGACTGGAAGACTTGTTTTAAATTAGCTGAAGGAAGTACCAATACCTATGCTTGAAGAAAACAGAGATGGCAGGAAAGGTGGTTTGATAAATGGTTTTGAAGCAGTTGAGGTAGACATGAGGATGGCACAGAGGGTTAAATTAAAGATGTAGAGAATATATCTTTTGAAGCAAAGTTAAGGATAACTTGAGGAAACACTGGTTTCAGTGGGGAATAAAATGTTTCTCTCAGAGGACTGGGAAAGTAATGGGCAGCTCTAATGACAGAAATGTTAAGAAAGGAGAAGGAGAGTAACTCAAAAAGTACTCTTAGATTCCCAGTCATGTTGAACAATGCCATAGTCTTCTATTTTCTCAACAAGAAAGCTGACAGGCTGGTGGTGAAATAATGAACAATTTAGTCTTTGTTATGTTTAACACAATTATCAAAGGCCACACAGTGTTATGTTTTCAATATCCTAAACCACACAGGATTGGATTGGCAGGCAGAGGCGTCTGCCATCACAGGTGCTGTCGTCAGTATTATTGGTGTTATTTGAATTGAAAGTGGTATCATTGCCTCATGCATCAGGAAAGACTTGAAGGTTTTTGGCTCTTTTTTTTTTGAGGCAGAGCTTCTTAGTTAACTTGCATCTCATTATGCTTAGGTCATTAGTTTATTTAGCATAGTTCCTATCTTACCACAAGTTAACACCGCCTTGTGTTGTTATAATGTATTCTTTCAAACATGAATTTATTTTGGGAATTATCTCATTAAGCCTTTTATTGGAATTTCCAGGCAATACAGTTTAATTACCACAACAATAATTTTTATCTTTATATTATTAATCTATTTCACCCTCAATAATAAAATTTTGTTGACTTTAGCATCTAGTAAATCACTGCAAATATTTAAATCATTTCCCAAGAGGCTAAACTCCAGCATTGCCCATAAACTTTTTACCAAGAAAAGGTTAATTTTTAATTGCCTGTCTTTAAATTGATAAAATACTGTACTAATTTTAATAAAGATTAAATGAATTAGTAACCTGAACTTTCTAACCTTCCTCACAGCAGAGTTCACTTAGATCCCGAGACCCAGCAACTTCTGAAAAAATTTAACATTCTTCCTCTAGGATTTTTTAACAGGATTCACAGACATAACTAGCATCACAGGGCACTGGAGTTAAAGTTCTGATTTTGCAATTAAAGCTAAAACAACAAACAAATAACATTCGTATGTATGCATTTTCTAATTTTAAGTGTAAAATACTTAATAGCTAGCTTAAAATATAACATTTCCCCATAATTTAATTGTATAAAACGGTAACTTTTTACAGAAAACTAGAGCTACTCTCAGCTAATCTCAAAAAGCATAAACAAATTATTAGAATAGAATATATGAACAAATAAGTATACACAATGACTTAAATTACCTCTCTTCTTCTCGAACCCACACTGGAGTTTTGGGAATTTGTGCTTCAAAAAACTTAGATGCTTGATAACAAAAATTGCTGCAAAAAGACTGAAAAGAACATTATAAATTTCATTCTTTTTCTTATTGTGAAACATTACCTACATACTATTGACAGTATAAAACAAAAATGTATAGTTGAAAGAATAAAATGGAAACCTACAAGTCTGCCACCTGAGGTAAGAAATAAGGTACAGAACCTTTGAAGGCTTCCATGTGCCTCTTCCCAACTGCACCACCCTCCACATTCCCCAGAAGTAACCACTATCATACATTTGGTGTTAATCATTCCCTCATTTCCCTTCAGTTTTAGCACCTGTGTACATATCCCTATTAAAAAATATTCAGTTTTGCCTATTTTTAAACTTTTTTTAATGGAATAATATTGTTAAACATTTTTATCTTCTTTCATTCATTTATTAAATTTTATTGTTTTAGAGACAGGGTCTCACTCTGTTGTCCAGGCTTCAGTGCAGTGACACAATCATAGCTCACCGTAGCCTCTATCTCCTGCGCTCAAGCAATCCTCTGGCCTCAGCTTCCTGAGTAGCTGGACTATAGGTGTGCCACCACACCTGGCTATTTTATTTTTTGTAGAGATGGGGGGTCTCGATCTGTTGTCCAGGCTGGTGTTGAATTCCTGGCCTCAAGTGATCTTCCCTCCCTGGGCTTCCAAAGTGCTGGAATTAATAGGTGTGAGCCACCATACCCAGCCACTTCTTTTGTTTAAAATTATGTTTTTAAGATTCATTCAGGTAGACATATCTTACTGATTTTCACTGTGTATTACATTCCATTGTGTTAGTATATTACACTTTACCATTTAAAACTGAGTTGTTTCTAATTTTTTTGCTATCACTACAATGTTATAAACTCTTTTTACAATTAAAATATTTTTAAAATTGTGGTAAAATATACATAATATGAAAATTATCATCGTAACCATTTTTAAGTGTATAGCATAGTGTCACCAGGAGCTAGGCTGAAGTGCAGTGGTGTGATCTTGGCTCACTGCAACCTCCGCCTCCCAGGTTCAAGCAATTCTCTTGCCTTAGCCTCCCGAGTAGGTGGGACTACAGACTTGCACAACCACGCCCAGCTAATTTTTGTATTTTTAGTAGAGACGGGGTTTCACCATGTTGGCCAGGATGCTCTCGATCTCTTGACCTCGTGATCCATGCGCCTTGGTCTCCCAAAGTGCTGGGATTACGGATGTGAGCCACCGTGCCTGGCCTAGAACTCTTTTTATCTTACAGAACTGAAATCCTATACACTAACTTCCCATTCCCACCTTTGCTGATGATCTTTCTACTTTCTGCCTCTATTAATTTGACATCTGTAGGTACCTCGTAAGTGAAAGTATACAGTATTTGTCCTTTTGTGCTGGCTTATTTCACTTAGCATATTATTTTCAAGGTTAATCCACCTGTTAGCATGTGTCAGAATTTCCTTCCTTTTTTAAGGCAAATATTCCATTGTGTGTATATATCACACTGTTTATCCAGCTATGAACATTTTTATACATATATACTGGTGTATATGTATAAGAATTTCTTTAGGGTATATACCAAGGAATAGAAAGGTTTAATTATAGAGAATGTGCAAAGTTGACTTTGCCAGACAAATGCAAACCGTTTCTCAAAAAAGCTGTACCAATTTTCATTCCCACTAGTCGCAAAAAGATTTCCTAATATTGCAATCTTGTGGGGGCTGTGAAAACATAACTCAATGCATTTCTGCTATTTCTCTGATTACTGATAAGATTGAGCATCTTTTCATATGTTTATTAGCCATTCAAGTTCCTTGTGTAAATTTTTCTATTAGTTTGTCGGTCTTTTTCTTATAGATTATATATTCTAGATATGATTCTATGGTCAGTTATATGTGGGAAATAATAACATTCTGATTTGTGGCTTCTCTTTTCATCCTTTTTTTTGAAACTTCTGATGAACAAATGTTTTACATTTTAATATAGAAATATTTATCAGTTTCTCCTATTTGGTCTATAATTTTCCCTCTTATTTTATAAAGTCTCTGTACCCCAAGTTTATATCTTCCCGTATTTTTTTTTTTCTGGAGACAATGTCCCACTCTGAGGCCCAGGCTGAAGCTGACAAACAGTGGCATGATCTTGGCTCACTGCAACCTCGGCTGCCCAGATTCAAGTGATTCACGTGCCTCAGTCTCCTGAGCTGGGACTACAGGTGCATATTACCACATCCGGCTGACTTTTGTACTTTTTGTAGAAACAGGGTTTCGCTATTGCCTAGACTGGCCTCGAACTCCTTGAGCTCAGATAATCTGCCCACCTTCGCCTTCCAAATGCTAGGATTACAGGGATGAGCCACTGCGCTCAGCCTCTCCCATACTGTCTAAAAGAATCTTTTACATTTATGTCTTTAATCCACCTGAAAGTGATCTGTGCATATAGCCTAGGATAGGCATCAATTTTCATTTTTTCCATTTGTACAACTAATTGTGCCAATAAAATTTATTGAAAAATCCATCCTTTCCTTACTGATATATACTCCCACTGACAAATATCAACTGTCTACATATGTGTTTAGTCTGTTACTGACTCTCTGTTCTGTTCCATGATTTATTTGCTTAGATTTGTACCAATATGCACTTTTAACTTTTAAATGTTCAGTCTTATTGAAAGCTTAAGCAAAAAAATTTTTTAATACCTTGACTGAAATTTTTACAAATAAAACCAAACTTTTTTTTTTTTTTTTTTTTGAGACGGAGTTTTGCTCTTGTTACCCAGGCTGGAGTGCAATGGCGCGATCTCGGCTCACTGCAACCTCCGCCTCCTGGGTTCAGGCAATTCTCCTGCCTCAGCCTCCTGAGTAGCTGGGATTACAGGCACGCACCACCATGCCCAGCTAATTTTTTGTATTCTTAGTAGAGACGGGTTTCACCATGTTGACCAGGATGGTCTCGATCTCTCGACCTCGTGATCCACCCGCCTCGGCCTCCCAAAGTGCTGGGATTACAGGCTTGAGCCACCGCGCCCGGTCTAAAACCAAACTTTTAACATCATTATTTTCTAACCAGTCAGATTTTAAACAATTACTTTTAGAATCCTGTTTAGTTTCATTAAAAATTAATTGCCATTCCTTGTTAGTAAAGAAAAAATGAATTGCCGTAATGAAAGCCTTTAAACTCACCTTTCTTTCAGTAATATCATAGACTTTATTGGTTTTGGTAGAAATTTTATATTTCTGTTTTGGTACCTAAAGAAAAGAAAGTACAACTTACAAAAGAATCCAAGTAATACACACGAACCTTATGTTACAAGATTAAGTCATCTACATATCGTATCATTGGCTAATCCGTGCCATTAGTTCGTGACTTTAGGTTTCATTTCTTGTTCTTACAACAAAGTACTTTGCTAAATGAAAATAATAAAAGCCTATATTTAAAAAGAAAATGAGTTACTTACAATTCCCAGCTTCTTCTGACATAAAGGATAACCACAGAGTTTGACAATAGAACGTTCATCAACGACATCCCTGTAGTGAGCAGGTGTAATAAACTTCCCCTATAATGAAATGAGAGGGTTATTTCTTCCTGGATTAATAGAAAAGTTCATTTATCAGCTCTCTAGGCCTCAGCCATCTTATCTGAAAACACAGGAATCACAATAGTACCCTCCTCATAAGTTAGAGGTTAGAATTAGAGGAGAAAATAAAGCAAAATCACTTAGAGAAGTGCTCAACATATAGTAAGCATTCAAAAAATGTTATTATTTTAAAAATTTCTACCATGGTAGTCTGCATCTTTGTAGGTTATATAGTTAAATAATTCTGAGGCAGGAGGAAGAAATGGTGCTATAGCTATACTAAAGCTAAATGACAACAGTTATCTTTTCTTTTTAAAAAATAAATCACAAAGTAATAAAATGTTACCATTTTTTAAAGCATAATCTTTAAAAAGAAAGTATTTTAAAGGTGTCATTGTGACTCCTGAACACATTTTGTGCAAAATCTTCCTACTCTGAAAAATATGTACAGAGTGGTGCGATGATGGTTATAAGCTAACATCAAATATTTTCCTTTTACATCTTCATGATCAAATAATCTCAATTCTTGTTTCATAACTTTGAGATCTTTTAACAAGTTTTTATGTTTTCACAGGGACTAAAATACTTTTTGAGAGTGATGTAAGTTTTATGTTTCAAATGAAGCATATTTGCCTTTGTCTTTTTTGATGTCATCATAGATTCTGATGCAGTTGGCTGGGTCAATTAAAATATGAACTGTCAGCCAGGTGTGGTAGCTCATGCCTGTAATCCCAGCACTTTGGGGGGCCGAGGCAGGTGAATCACGAGGTCAGGAGATTAAGACCAACCTGGCCGGCCGGGCGTGGTGGCTCAAGCCTGTAATCCCAGCACTTTGGGAGGCCGAGGTGGGTGGATCACGAGGTCAAGAGATCGAGACCATCCTGGTCAATATGGTGAAACCTGTCTCTACTAAAAATACAAAAAAAAATTAGCTGGGCGTGGTGACGCACGCCTGTAGTCCCAGCTACTCGAGAGGCTGAGGCAGGAGAATTGCTTGAACCCAGGAGGCACAGGTTGCAGCGAGCCGAGATCACGCCATTGCACTCTAGCCTGGGTAACAAGAGCAAAACTCCGTCTCAAAAGAAAAAAAAAAAAAAAAGACCAGCTTGGCCAACATGGTGAAACTGTCTCTGCTAAAAATATAAAAATTGGCTGGGTGTAGTGGCATGTGCCTGTAATCCCATCTACTCAGGAGGCTGAGGCAGGAGAATCTCTTAAATCAGGGAGCTGGAGATTGCAGTGAGCCACGATTGCACCACTGCACTCCAGCCTGACAACAGAAGGAGACTCCATCTAGGGAAAAAAAAAAAAAGAATTGTCATGTTCATATTTCTATTTAGAAAAAGATCTATGAACCACACTAGAAGTGTTTTTGAAATAGAAGCTCTGAGTTTTTATTTGTCCTCTTAAGGATTATAAGAATATAAAAGAAATTCTCCATTCAAAATTTTAATGTAGTAAAGCTGTTTAAAATTTTTTTTATTCTCAAATTTTTAGACAGGGTCTTGCTATGTTGTCCAGGCTGGTCTCAAACTCCTGGGCTCAAGCAATCCTACCACCTTGGCTTCCCACAGTGCTGGGATTATAGGCATGAGCCACTATACCCAGCCTAAAAAAATTTAATGCAGATTATAATTCTCCCATTTTATGTTAAATCATAAATAATCTGTATTTCAGGTTTTTAAAATATCAAAATTGATGAAATTATATTGACAAGAATAATATTCCTCTGTTACTTAAAACAGTGCAACACAGAATATAGAAAACTGGCATTGCAATCACAGAACTGAAGAAAATCAAGTGATATTAGCAGACTGGTTAAAAGAACCACAACAAGAGTAAAATATACTTGCTTTTTCTTTTTTTTTCCCTCCCCATCCTCATTTTTCTTTTTTTCTGTTTATCAGAGTCTCATTCTTGTTGCCCAGGCTGGAGTGCAGTGGTGTGATCTCAGCTCATTGTACCTCTTGCCTCCTGAGTTCAAGCAATTCTCATGCCTAGCCTCCTGAGTAGCTGAGATTATAGATGTGAGCCACTCCACCTGGCTAATTTTGTACTTTTAGTAGAGACTGGAGTCTCACCATGTTGGCCAGGCTGGTCTCAAACTCCTGACCTCAAGTGATCCACCCATCTTGGCCTCCCAAAGTGCTAGGATTACAGACATGAGCCACTGTGCCCGGCCTCTTTTTTCTTTTTAATTGTATTTATATTTAATTCTTTATATTTGTAGGGTAGTATGTGATGTTTTAACACATGTATATGTTGAGCATATCAGGCTAATTAACATATCCACCTCATATCTTTGTCATTTCTTTGTGGTGAGAACATTTAAAATCCACTTATTAATTTTGAAATATACATTACCTATCATTACCTTATTACGTACTTGTTATTTTTCATTAGTGTATTTTAAAGTCATTATAGAAGGCATGCATGATAGCTGTTTATTTTAAAATGCATGAATTATATAGATTGTTATCTGCATCTAATGACTAAGAACAAATTCAAAGATTTTAATAATGCAAAGAAGTTTTATGTTGCACAGATTTAAAGTTGTTATACTACCAAACTAATAATTTGTCAACTTAACACATACACACTCCATTAGGAATTCTTCTGTAATATTCTCTTCTAAAAGCTGTTCAACAATATGTAGAGCTTTTCTCTCAAATTCAATCTTCTTTCTCACAGCTGCTTCTAGTTCTCCTTTCCTAAAATTTGAAAGAGAAAGTTAATCTACTTATAAGCTTCATCATGTCCAGTATTCCATGTTTTAAAGTACAACACTAACCTATTTTGCCAGTTAAATTTATATATATTAAAAAAAATTTTTTGAATAAAAATATTTACTTCTTTTTAATTGTAGAGATGAGGTCTCACTATGTTGCCCAGACTGATCTCAAGCTCCGGGCCTCAAGCGATACTCTCACCTCAGCCTCCCAAAGCACTGGGATTACAGGCATGAGCCACCATATCCAGCCAATTTTCTAGTTTCTAATGCTGTTACTTTTGATCCAATACTTTTTCAAAAAGGAAATAGGTTACTTTTTGCCCTGCACATACAGAAGTCTTTATACACAAGGTCACCTCTGGCTGGAGGTCTCTCCTCACTACTGGTTGTCTGGTTAATGTCTGCTTGGCATGCAGGGCTCAGCTTAAGGCTTTCCCTAAAAACTCACAGCCAACCTCCCTGCCACCCATCTCCATCTAAATTAGACTTTTATTATTCCTTCTCATAACATCACAGTCTTTTCCTTCATAGTGCTTATCACAATTTGTAATTATGTATTTGTTTATCTTAATTAACTAATTAATTTATTACTATTTATTCCTCTGTTCCACTAGATGAGAACTGTGTCTATTCTGTTCACCATATCTTCAGGGCCTAACACAGGTCTGGCATATCTTATACTCAGTAAATAATTTTTGAAATGAGTAAATTAGACAAAAGCCAATATAAGATTAGTGAGTCTCCACAAAATGAAAATAAATCATAGCTATATACTAATCCCCTTCAGATTCTTCTACTCTTCTGGAAAACTTTGTGTGATAAGTGGTAATGTCTTGCCTTTTTAGAACTGGAAATAGTACACAACAACTTTTTGATGAAAATCGGGACTTGATCTAACAAAGAACAGAAAAGATTTCTTGGAGTGATAGAGAAACTTGTAGAGTGAGTCTCTGACATATAAAGCAATAAAAGGAGAGTATACCTGAAGATGTGAAAAACAAACACACACCTTCTTTTTTTTTTCAGAGACAGAGTCTTGCTGTGTTGCCCAAGGTGGAGTGCAGTGGCCCAATCTTGGCTCACTGCAACCTCCGCTTTCAGGGTTCAAACAATTCTCCTGCCTCAGCCTCCCAAGGAGCTGGGACTACAGGCACCCGCTGCCATGCCCAGCTAATTTCTTTCGTAGATTAGTAGAGAGGGTGTTTCACCGTGTTACCCAGGCTGTCTTGAACTTCTGAGCTCAGGCAATCCACCAGCCTCCACCTCCCGAAGTGCTAGGATTACAGGTGTGAGCCACAGCGCCCAGTCACAGACACTTTCTACAGACACTCATGCCTTCACTAGCAGTCTGAGTGCTCAGTCTGGTTTTCTTAAAGCCTAGAGTAGATGTATGTAACAGTCTATATGAGAATTTATAGGCCTTCCCAGATCTTTCTCTTCCTTCTCACAATTTTCTCTCTCTAAAAATAGTAACCATTATTGTTTTAAAACTGGTTCAAGTAATATGAGATAAGTGCCTATGTCAATGTAGTTGTCCATGTAGCTGCCATACCTTTTAGAAGCATCTTCTTGTTTCAAAGTACTTGTCTGTTTAGTACCTACAATAAAAATACAGTCATGTGCCACATAATGACATTGCCATAAATGATGGACTGTGCATACAGACAGTGGTCTAAGCCAATAATACTGTATTTTTACTGTGCCTTTTCTGTTTAGATATACAAATACTATTGTGTTACAATTGCTTACAACAGTAACATCCTGTGCATTGTAGCCTGGAAGCAATAGGCTGTACCACATAACCTAGCGTGTAGTAGGCTATACCATCCAGGTTTGTGTAAGTGCACTCTATGATTGTCACATAGGGACGAAATCGCCTAACAGCGCATTTCTCAAAATGCATCCCTGCAGTTAAGCCACACATGGTGGCAGTAGGTCAAGTGTACACAAACACATTAGGTGCAAGATAGATTCCTACCTAAATAACAAACTATAGACAAACTTTTTTTCTTTTCCACTTATTTTATGTCCAATCGTGTGTAAATCAAAATGAAATAGGATGGGAATGCAATTTGTTTTTGCAAATTGATAACTGTCTAATTTTTCTTGGTTAAAATGTTTCTCTTTGGGGATTTAATTTTCTCCTGTATCATAATTGCTTAATTAACCACTCCTGAAAAATCTGAGATCTGGGTACTTTTAAGGAGGAACTTCTCTCTGTCCGCCAAACATCCTCTCTCGGGTAAAAGGGGAGTCCGACACCTCAAAGAACCCGGAACCCAAGCAGTCTGGAAAGGAGGACCGGTCCTAGGTTCAAGGCCAGCTCTCAACTAAGGCAAGCTGCCCTAGTCACTTGCCCGGAACCGCAGGGACCTCAGGCCTGGGTTCCCGGCACCTCCACTGTCCTTTCTCTCAGAAGCTGGGGCCACAGCCCTCGTGAGGGAAATCTTAGAACACTGGTGTAAAGGGGTGAGGGCCGGCCGGGAGATCTTTTCCAGGAGGTGCGAGCACGGCGGTGGGAAGCTTTCGGCCTTCTCTGCCCGGGAGAAGCCCTCCACTGAAGCAGCCTTTCAGAAGCTCCGGCGCGCCGGTTCGAAACTTGACAGGGGCCTAGCTTTCAGGGTTCAAAAGTGGGAAGAGATCCTTGCTCCTACCTGCGGCGTTTCGAGAGCGGCGGCGAGTCCCGGCCTTTCGGCCGGCGGAGCGCCACCCTGCCCAGTCCGCCATACTTGAGAGTAGCCTGCGGGACCGGGCTCGGATCCGGCGTCTCGCCCCGAGGCCCCGCCTCCCTACGCAAAGCGCGGGGCGGACCCGGCTGGCGTGGGGCGGAGCCGGGAGAGCAGCCCCGGCGGCCGGAGGAGGTGGCGGCGGCTGGGAGAGGCCGGGGACTTGGCCGGTAAGTGGAGTCTTGGAAGGATTCACGGCGGCCAGGGCTGGCGGTTGGCCGTGAACCGCGGCGGACTTGGCGCCGCGGGCCGACTAGGCCGAGTGAGGTGGTGGAGCCTGCCTGTCTAGGCGAGCAGGAATCGGGAGACATGGCTTCCTCTGCTGCCGCCCGCACGCGCGTGGCCCTGAGGACCGGGCTGACCCGCTCCCCTGGTGAGGACTTCTGCCGGGAGAAGCGATGGTCTCTTCCTAAAGGCCGCTGGTTACCTTGTCTCCGTGTGATAGATACAGTGATTTCACTAGATGAATTCATTACTTTGGGGACTACAATTCCTAGAGAGAAACGGGATGGAGGGCATCTGAACCCTTACCCCCGTGGGTAGCTTGTGTTGCACCCCAATTTTTGTAAGGTGAGACATTAAAAAATAAAAAATCCCTTAATGATTAGAATTTTGTTTTCAGGTCCACCTTTTGGAAAATTTTTTTTCAGAAAATAAATACTTTGCTTTTTAAAAGCCCTTTAGTCCGTATTTGCCTCGCCTCTTGGGAGTGCTTGAGAAGGTTTTTTTTTTCCTTCCAAGTAGCTTTCAAAACTATGCTCCTAGAAAACTTGAAAGATGCAATAAAGGCTTCTGAAAAAACACTTTATTTTCTTAGGCTAAGATACTAAGATTCAGTAATAACATTTCAACTTTAAAAGTTTACATTTTCTCCTACCATGCTATCAGACCAAAAAAACAGAACAACAAAATCTTTATATTTTCTTTATTGTATTTAGTAATAATTTATCACACTGAAACATAACTTTTGAATACTTTAATATCACAGATAGCTGTGTTTTGTATTTGTAGATTTTAGCATCGAAGCTAGGAAAAATAGGAATGGCTGTAGAGGAACTTCAGTCCATAATAAAGAGATGTGTAAGTATGTTTTTTAATTTTGTAAAATTAAATACCTTTCAAAATATGGGAAGGGCACAGATTGTTTTTAATTATATTTGTGGTCACTCAAATTGCTTATCTTCTTTAATCCTTGCTTCCTGTAAAGAGCATGAGTGGGGGAGGCAGATTGGATTATTTCTCCAGGTGACATACTTATTTAAATAACCTTTTACGTTTTAATCCTGATCCACAGATTTTATTGGTACAGTAGATTTCAAGGTCATTGGTTAAAGTATTTATTTGGGTAATCCTAATTTTGATAACATGTTATTTATGTTACATTTATCTAGATTTTAAACTGTTTTTTTAATAGATAAGAAGTCACTGTGTTTAATTTTTACTTGCATACACATTTTTTTGTTTGTTTCTTTTGTTTTTGCTAGCAAATCCTAGAAGAGCAAGACTTTAAAGAAGAGGATTTTGGCCTATTTCAGTTAGCTGGGCAAAAATGTATAGAAGAAGGGCACATAGACCAGCTATTAGAAATTATTCAAAATGAAAAGAATAAGGTACGTACAATCTTGGTGTTTACTTTTCAGTCTTGGGAAGAGAATAATTACATGATGCTATTCATCCAGTCATTTATTCATCAAACATTTAAGAATCTGCTTATGTTTTCACAATAGGGAACTGAAAACAAAAAAAGAATTAGAAATATTTAGGTTGGGCACAGTGGCTCATGGTTGTAATCCCAGCACTGTGGGAGGCCAAGGCAGGCAGATCACTTGAGCCCAGGAGTTTGAGACCAGCTTGGACAGCAGAGTAAGACTCTGTTTCAGGGGGAAAAAAAAAAAAAAGAAGAAATATTCATATACTTGAAGGTGCTTATAGTCTGATCAAACAGATAAACGTGTAAACAACTAACAATAATGAGGCGCCACGTGTGTACCTGTGCAACAGTCTTGCATGTTCTTCGCATGTACCCCAAAACGTAAAATGCAATAAAAAAAAATAATGAGGCAAAATAAAAAAGTGCTGTAGTTGAAGTAAAGAGATTTTAGAAGGAATAGAATTACTTCTGGTTTATGGAGTCCAAAACTGGTGTTTGAGTCATTAATTTACATTGAGACATATACATATCAAGCAGGCTAAATATTCATTTTGGGTGATCAGCCCATTCTTCTCCAGCCAAAAGTGTATGGAAAACCAAATTTTAATTAAAATAGTATTTTGTGTGCATAGAATTGGAACAGGAGAAGAACTGTATGTCATACTAGCCAGTATCATCCAGTTACAATAGTTAGAGAAGTCATTCTCCACTATGTATAGAAAAGGATCTTGTTTGTGCATCAGGAATAACTTTTTCCTGGGACACTATGTTGGCAACACCCTGCCAAATTTTGTGTCTTTGGACACTCATTATAAGGAAGACTGCTATTGTTTGGCTCTGTGTCCTCACCTAAATGTCATCTTGAATTGTAATAATCCTTTTGTGTCAAGGGTAGGACCAGGTGGTGGTAGTTGAATCATGGGGGTGGTTTCCCCCATGCGTCTCATGATAGTGAGTGAGTTCTCACAAGTTCTGAAGCATCTGGCATTTCCCCTGCCAACACTCACTCCTGCTGCCCTGTGAAGAAGAGGTGCCTTCCACCATGATTCTAAGTTTCCTTCCTGAGGCCTCCCTAGCCATGTGGAACTGCACATCAGTTAAACCTCTTTAAAAGTTACCCAGTCTTGGGTATTTTTTTTTTTTTTTTTAAGAATAATAAGAAAAAGAATAAAGAAGAAGAAGAAAGAGAAAGAGGAAGAGGGAGAGAGAATGGGGGTATTGCTTTGTTGCCCGGGCTAGAATGCAGTATAAATATGGGTATGCCTATAATTGTCCTTAATGAAATGAAGGACATGAAAGAAAATGAGGGAAGAGAGTAACAAACAAGGAGCCAACCAACATTTCGTTTAAACTTCTAAGTTGATATGATGTGGTACTGATAAGAGTGTATATTTTGTGTAAAGTGGAGAGTTCTATAAATGTTAATTACGTTTACTTGTTCCAGATCTGAGTTCAAGTCCTGGATATCGTTGTTAATTTTCTGTCTCATTGATCTGTCTAATATTAATGTTGAAGTCTCCCACTATTATTGTGTGGGAGTCTAAGTCTCTTTATAAGTCTTGTATGTCTGGGTATTCCTGTATTGGGTGCATATATATTTAGGACCTTTAACTCTTGTTGTTGTTGCATTGATTCTTTTATCATTATATAATGTCCTTCTTTGCTTCTTTTGATCTTTGTTGCTTTAAAGACTATTTTATCAGAGGCAAAAATTGTAACTTCTGCTTTTTATTTATTTATTTTTGCTCTCTGGTTGGTTGGTAAGTCTCTCTCCATCCCTTGTTTTGAGTCTTTGTGTATCCTTGAATGTGAGATGGGTCTGGATGCAGCATACAGTTTTAGTTTTTTGTCCAAATTGGCTGTCTGTCTTTGAATTGGGGAATTTAGTCAATTTAAATTTAGAATTAATAATGATATATGTGAGTTTAATACTGCCATTTAATATTAGCTGGCTATTTTGCCCATTAGTTGATGTAAATTCTTCATTATATTGATGTTCTTTACTTTTTGGTATTTTTTAGAAAGGCTGATACTGTTTCTTCCTTTCTATGTGTAGTGGTTCTTTCAGAAGCTATTGTAAAGCAGGCCTGGTGGTGATGAATTCTCTGAGTGCTTGCTTGTTCACAAAAAACTTTATTTTTCCTTCACTTACGAAGCTTAGTTTGGCTGGATGTGAAATTCTTGGTTGAAAGTTCTTTTCTTTAAGGATGTTGAATATTGGTCCCCACTCTCTTCTGACTTGTAGGGTTTCTGCTGAGAGATCTGCTGTAAGTCTGATAGGCTTCCCTTTGTGGGTAACCTGACCTTTCTCTCTGGCTGCCCTTAGTATTTTCTCCTTCATTTCAACCCTGGTGAATCTGACGATTATGTGCCTTGGAGTTGCTCTTCTTGAGGAATATCTTTGTGGTGTTCTCTGTATTACCTGGAGTTGAATATTATCCTGCCTTACTAAGTTGGGAAAATTTTCCTGAATAATGTCCTGAAGCATATTTTCCAGCTTGGATTCATTCTCTTCGTCACATTCAGGTACACCTATCAAGCGTAGATTAGGTCTTTTCACATAGTCCCATATTTCTTGGAGACTTTGCTCATTCCTTTTTATCCTTTTTTCTCTAATCTTGTCTTCTAGTTTTATTTCATTGAGTTGGTCTTCGACCTCTGATATCCTTTCTTCTGCTTGATCAATTCGGCTGTTAAAACTTGTGCATACTTCACGTAGTTCTCGTATTGTGTTTTTCAGCTCCATCAATTCACTTATTTTCCTCTCTAAATTTTGTATTCTTGTTGACATTTCGTCAAACCTTTTTTCAAAGTTCTTAGTTTCTTTAGATTGTGTTAGAACAAGTTCTTTTAATTCACAGAAGTTTCTTATTATCCACGTTTTGAAGCCTGCTTCTGTAATTGGAACACACTCGTTCTCCATCAAGCCTTGTTTTGTTGCTGATGAGGAACTGGGATCCCCTGCTGAGGAAGAGGCGTTTTGATCTTGGGTATTCTCAGCCTTTTTTGACTGTTTTCTTCCCTTCGTTATAGATTTATCCATCTGTGGTCTTTATAATTACCGTCTTTGTAATTGGGTTTCTGAGTGGACGTCCAACTTATTGATTCTCAGTGCCAAAATCTGAGCAACCCACTGCACCGACCAAATCAGCGGCGTTAAGATTGATGGTGCTTTTCTGACTCTGCACCAAGAACCGATGCTCTGAGGCGCCGGCAAAACCGCCTCTCGGGTCACAAGAGTCGCACTCCTCCACTGGGAATCTCCTGGTGCGCGAGCAACAAGAATTCATGTGAAGGTGTGGCATCCTTTCGTTCTTTGCGTTTTCACTGGGAGCTACAATCCCGAGCTGCTAGTGATCAGCCATCTTGGATCTCTCTCTGGGTATTTCTACATAGCATGAGAGCAGACCAATACAAAGACCATCTTCGTTCTAGATACATACTCTTTCTTCATTTGCAGTGCTATTTATTCATTGAAAGTTTTCTTTCTTGATATCACAGTGTAGTCATGTTGATCTGTGTTTCTTGTTTCTGTCCAGGGGATCTTGATTGGATTTGGGGGATTCCTAAAACTTTTTAATCATACATTGTTATATAATCTCTTAGTAGTTCAAATGGCTTATCCCCTTTTTATTTTTTATTAAAATAACTAGGATATTTAATTTTGTTTTTGATATATGTTTATGATAACTTTGTAACCCCCTCATATAATACATTTTATGTTTTTTAAAATCTTCTTGATTTTTTTTTTCACTCTTAGAGGATAACCTTTGAAAGTAATTAGCTTTTAGCTAATAATAAAAAAAAATTAGTAACTACTAATATTTATTGAGTAGTTACATGTACCAGATGCTCTCTTTAGTCTCTTACATTTATTAACTTGGTCTCTCCAAAATCTCAGAAGGTAGGTGTTCATTTTGACTGAAAGGTTAAATGACTTTCCCAAAAGTAAGTCAGCTTTTCTGTGACATCCAAGATTCAGACTTGTGTAGCATGGTTTTGGAGCTCCTAACCACTCTGTTCTACCTCTGGTTGGTGCTGTACAGCATATGGTTTGAGGCTAGAATACAGGGAATTGGTTGATTGAGAGTATAAGGGATCAAAAATGACTGGGTTTCTAACCTCTGAAAGTATAATATATGATAATGTGAATAGAAAAAGGCAACTTAAGTGGAGGGAAAAGTTTCCTGAAGGAACACAAGTGAGTCGACTTTTAGAAATTTTCAGTTTAAGTGCAGCAGGCAATTGGAAAATAAGGTTTTGAGCTCAGCAGAGATACAGGAATTAAGATGTAGATCTCTGAGACACGTATCTGTGAGACTTTAATTACCTAAAGATTAGGTAATTGAGGGGGAAGAAAACAATTTACCCAAGTTCACAGAAAAGGGGCATAAGAGAAGAGCCCCAAGAGCCCACCTTGAGGAATTTAAGAAAGAGGTAGAGTGAAGAGGCCTGGCAAGGAGACGAGGATCAGCACCACATCAGTGAGGCAGAAGGAAAAGGGAAGTATAAACAAATTATTTTTCAGGCATTGCATGCCTCAGTGTTTTATCTTTAGCATGCTTTTGAATGGCTAACAGGATAGATTTAAACATTGTGAGGCCTAGTCTTAATAGTTTGAGAATCACCTCTGTAATGTCTGAGGTGACATTGCAGAGGTTTAGATATTGATAAGACAGTGTTCAAAACTGACTACAGGCCAGGCACAGTGGTTCATGCCTATAATCCCAGCACATTGGGAGGCCAAGGAGGGTGGATCACCTGAGGTCAGGAATTCTATACCAGCCTAGCCAACACGGTGAAATGCCACAATTAGCCGGGCGTGATGGCACATCCCTGTAATCCCAGCTACTCAGGAGACCGAGATGGGAGAATTGCTTGAACCTGGGAGGCAGAGGCTGCAGTTAGGCAAGATTGCAACACTGCACTCCAGCCTGGGAGACAGAGTGAGACCTCAGCTCAATAACAACGACAACAAAAAGCTGACTACAATTTAATTTTCTTGCCAGATGACACTATCAAGATGACCAAGACTTACTATTATCTTCAGCTGTAAGAGCGAATTAAAAGTGATAAAAAGATTTACTATTAACTGCTTTGCGAGAGACCATTCACATACCTTTTGTTACAGTATATTATTATACTTGTTGTAGTTACTGCTAATCTCTTAATTTATAAGTTAAACTTTGTCACAGATGAGCATGTACAGCTAGTGCTCGACTTACGACCATGATTGGTTCCAAAAGACCAGTCGTACCGTGATTTGGTCGTAAGTTGAGTAGGCTATATGTACAATACTGTGAAATGATATAAAAATCTTTAAGTCATATTTTATCATAATTTTCTTTAATTGTTATATATCATAATTTTCTTTGTTCATTTTATGCCATTTGTATCATCTCTATACCATTTTGTTTCTTATTTTTACATTTGTCAGGTTTAAGTAAAACACTGCATTACCAATACAACTGGTTTAATATTTGCAAAACATATAAAATTACAAAATACAGGTGCATACAAAAATACAAAATACAGGTATAAAAAATACCATAGGAAACATTTTCTCAATTGCAAAACATATCAAAATATGTAAACATGTACGAAACATTTTATTGACAATTCCTCTTGGTAGACATCTTGGGAGGGGTTTGATGAAAAACATCCAAGACACAAAACACAAATTGCTGTACCGAGTCTGGGATAACAGTTGAAATGGTGCACGCGGAGATGGTAGTGCTGCTGGAAGCTGGTCCACACTGTCGTATGCCCAGCTGGGCAACGTTTGCACTGCCAGATGCGGAGCAGTTGTGGCTAGCGATTGTGGTCGTAAAGTCAAATGATCGTAAGTTGCATAGGTCTTAAGTCGATCAATACCTGTATAGGATTTATATATAGCCTTTGATACTATTCATGGTTTCAGGCATCCACTAGGGGTCTTGGAATGTACCCCCTGCAGATAAGTGGGGAGACTACAATATCCTATACACTATTGTCTTATAAGACTGGAGTCAAGATGAGGTATTAGAGGTATCATTTTATCTTCTTGCTAGATCAGCTTAAAAAAAAAAATTCAAATTTTAGTGGTTACATTGTAGACGTTTATATTGATGGGTATGTGAGATGTTTTGATACAGACATGCGATGTGTAATAATAATATCATGGAGAATGGGATATCTGTCCCCTCAGGCATTTATCCTTTGTGTTACAAACAATCCAATTAATCTTATTTAGTTATTTTTAAATGTACAATTAGTTATTGATTATAGTCACCCCGTTGTACTATCAAATAGTAGGTCTTACTCGTTACTTGTAACTTTTTTTTTTCTTTTTTTTTTTTTTTTTTTGGTACCCATTGGCCATCTCCTCTGCTGCCCACTACTATTCCCAGCATCTGGTAACCATCCTTCTGCTATGTCCATGAGTTCAGTTGTTTTGATTTTCAGATCCCACAAATAAGTGAGAGCATTCAATGTTTTTCTGTGCCTGACTTATTTCAATTAACATCATGGTCTACAGTTTCATTCATGTTATTGCAAATGACGCGATGTCATTCTTTTTTATGGTCAAATAGTACTCCATTGTTTATATGTACCACATTTTCTTTATCCATTCATCTGTTGATGGACACTTAGGTTGCTTCCAAATCTGAGGTATTGTTGACAGTGCTGCAAGTGAACATGGGAGTGCAAATATCTCTTCAGTATACTGATTTCCTTTCTTTTGCTGGGTCATATGGTAGCTCTATTTTTGTTTTTTTTTGAGGAACTGCCAAACTGTTCTCTATAATGGTTGTACTTATTTACATTCCTACCAACAATGTGTGAAGGTTTCCTTTTCTCCGCATCCTTGCCAGCATTTGTTACTGCCTGTCTTTTGGATATGAGCCATTTTAACTAGGGTGAGATGATATCCCGTTGTAGTTTTTGTTTTTGTTTTGTTTTATTTTATTTTGTTTGTTTTGAGACGGAGTCTCACTCAGTCGCCCAGGCTGGAGTTCAGTTGTGTGATCTTGGCTCACGGCAGCTTCTACCTCCTGGGTTCAAGTGGTTCTGCCTCAGCCTCCCGAGTAGCTGGGATTACAGGCACGTGCCACCATGCCTGGCTAATTTTTGTATTTTTAATAGAGACAAGGTTTCACCATGTTGGGCAGGCTGGTCTCGTACTTCTGACCTCATGATCCACCCTCAGCCTTCCAAAGTGCTGGGATTACAGACGTGAGCCGCCACACCCGACCCCCATTGTAGTTTTGATTTGTATTTCTCTGATGGTCAGTAATGCACACCTTTTCATAAGCTTGTTTGCCATTTGTATTTCTTCTTTTGGGAAATGTCTATTCAAATCTTTTGCCAATTTCTTGATCAGATTATTTTTTTTCTTTAGTGTTGTTTGAGCTTCTTTTTCTATTCTGGTTATTATTCCTTTGTCAGATGGGTTAGATCTGCTTTTTCTTTATTTATATATATATTTTTGAGATAGGGTCTGTCTCTGTCACTTAGGCTGGTTTGCAGCAGTGTGATCATGACTCACTGCCACCTCTGCCTCCCAGGCTCAAGCCATCCTCCCAATCAGCCTTACAAGTAGCTCAGACTACAAGCATGTGCCACCACGCCCAGCTCATTTTTGTATTTTGTAGACACAGGGTTTGGCCATGTCCAGGCTGGTCTCAAACTCCTGAGCTCAAGTGATCCACCCACCTCAGCCTCCCAAAGTGTTACGATTACAGGAATGAGCCACCATGCTTTAAAAAAAAAATCACATTTATTTAACTTTAAAAAATGGAGACAGGGTCTCATTGGGTTACCCAGGCTGGTCTCCAGTGATTCTCCTGCCTCAGCCTCCCAGAGTACTGGGATTAGAGGCATAAGCCACTTTGCCCAGCCAGCCACCATGCTTTTAGAGAAGGACTTTAGAATGTAAATTCTAGGAGGATAGTGATCTTATCCAGCATGTTCCTCACTTTTTTTCTAACACCTAGAATATTACATTGTTTGCTTGGTAAGTACTGATGAGTAAAAGTACAAAGCAGGCCAGAAAAGTGGCATTGTTGATACTTTTGAAAATCAGTGATTTTGATAATGAATGTGAATTACTAATTAAAAGATAAACTTGCCGGGCGCGGTGGCTCAAGCCTGTAATCCCAGCACTTTGGGAGGCCGAGGCGGGTGGATCACGAGGTCGAGAGATCGAGACCATCCTGGTCAACATGGTAAAACCCCGTCTCTACTAAAAGTGCAAAAAATTAGCTGGGCATGGTGGCACGTGCCTGTAATCCCAGCTACTCAGGAGGCTGAGGCAGGAGAATTGCCTGAGCCCAGGAGGCGGAGGTTGCGGTGAGCCGAGATCGCGTCATTGCACTCCAGCCTGGGTAACAAGGGCGAAACTCCGTCTCAAAAAAAAAAAAAAAAAAAAAAAGATAAACTTTTACTTGTGTAGTAGGCATTCTGAAATATCTTTGAACATAGAAGCCACTTGTATGGAGAAGAGAAAATTAATGAAGTTTCATCCCTTCTTTTTATATAAATTGCAATGATTATATTTAGAGACTCCAAGGAACTTTAAAAAGTACATGAGCATTGGCTGGATTTCTTTATGAATAAGGGGAGCAGAATTCTCTGTGGATGTTAAGTACTTGCCTTAAGCAGATTAACTCTGTTGTTGGAAATAGAAGAACTATTTAAATTTTGGAAACACTAACTTGCCTAATAAAAAGTAAAGACCCTTTTGCCTTTCTTCAGTGAACATATTAAAAACTATTTTAAAATGTTGATATCTGTTAGCAGTCAACCCTGGAAAGTCTGTGGTAAAATGTCATAGGTCTCACTTGTCTCATCTTCCTATTTAAGAGACTATTCTGAGCTCTTCCAAGATAGAAAAGCACACTGCGAGAGTCCTATAGATGGCAGTGTTTGCTTTATTTTGAAAATGTTTTTACAGGTCATCATCAAGAATATGGGCTGGAATCTTGTTGGGCCTGTCGTTCGATGCCTTTTGTGGAAAGAGAGAGAGGATGATGATAAAAGAAAAGTTTATTTTTTGATCCTTGATTTATTGGTAAAGGTAAGTTAACAAAATCAGGTTCTCTTTGTCATAACACGGGGCAATGTTTTATAATTCCCTTTAATGTTTATTGTTTGGTAAAAAAAAGCTTTTGGTTTATGGAAGTACATGCAGAAAGGAACTCATTGGAGAAAAGACTGTCTTATTGATTGGATAGGTAATTCCATTTCAAGATTTCCCAAATTTTCTGGATATATGAATTGTCTAACCTCATATTAACCTCATATCAGACCCATTGATTCAGCATCTCCAGCGAGAGACCTGGGAAGCTATATTTTAACAAGTAACCTTATTGTATGGTTGTGGAATACAAGGTTTAGAGAGGTAGTTCAAGGTCACATTTATCTTTTGGCAACATTGGATCTAGAAGAAAATCTCAGTCCTCTTGTCTTTGTGGTATGTTCCCGAAAAGAAAATGGAAAGCCTAGAATGCAAATGATTAAAATGGAAGTAGGAATGGGGGTAGCACACAGAGCAGTTGTGACTAACAACCTTAAAGACCCTTGGTAAAAGTCTAGTAGAGTTTAAAGTCAATATTGATGGCTAAGAAAGAGAAATTCTGAGAAAAAGGATATTATAAGAAACTGCTTAGTGATCAGTGCAAATATACCCAAATATATATTTGGAAAGAGAGCTCCATTTGTATGAGTTATTGACTACGGGAGCTGGGAGCTTTTAAAAAACTAGGTAAGTGAGGTGATAAGATATGGCCAGTTAGAAAGCAATGCAGAGTTTTATCTGTTCAAGAAATACAAAAGAGATTCTGGACTAGTCTATGCTTACAGCATGGGTTTGGAAGGTCTCACCTGGTGGAGTCCCTGGGAATCTATTAAGGCAACTTCTAGAGTAGACAGATGAAGCGCAAAGGACTTACAGCATGGGATTGAAAGGTACCACCTGGTGGAGTCCCTGGGAATCTATTAAGGCAACTTCCAGAGTAGACAGGTGAAGCTCAAAGGAAACATGAGCTTAAAGATCGTTGACTTCTTGCTTTTTAGTTTTACAGTTTTGACCATCATAGATTCTGTGTTTTGTTAGTGCATATTTTTAAACAATTGTATAAATAATTTTACTGTTAAGCAAAAAAATAATTGTATAACATTTTGTCAATATGTGCCTTAAAAATAGTAATAATGTGGCTTTAAATACAACTTGTATTAAACAGGTTCAATTGTGAATATTTTTATAGTTATGCAGTCCAAAGGAATTATTGTTGGGTTTGCTTGAACTGATTGAAGAGCCCTCTGGAAAACAGATATCCCGAAGTATTCTTCTTTTGCTTCAGCCATTACAGACAGGTAATGAGAATTTTGATATCAGAGTACTTGTTGTTGTATCTCTAAGTGCCTTGATGGTTACACCAAAATATCAATACTACACCAAAGTAAAGTTTACAGCGAATTAGTACTGTGCTTAAACCAATAATAGCAAGGCCAATGTGAATCCTGCTGCTCATAGAAAAATTATAGTATCTGACCAGAGTGGGTACCCTGTAAATACTCTGTGGAATGTCATTGTATTTTTCACGTGGTACGTTGAAACCTATACCTTTTTGCCTAACCTTCCTATCTGCTGCTTAAATCTGGAATTTTCTCCTTAAACATATTTAAAGGATTACCTCTGTGGTGTCTACAGTACTAAATCTGATAGCCTTATGGTAGTACAGAAGAGTATCAGGCAGGGCATTGCTCAGCCTCTGCACTGGGAGGTTGGATTGGACATAGCAAAGGTAATGCTGAAGAATGAAATAAGAAGATATAGGATGATAAGACTCCATGGCTGAGTATAATAATAATATTGGTAAGTAATGGATCTTGGCAACCAAGGCAGACAGTATCCATGGGAAAACGTTATTTTTCAGGAAATATATGTATCTCACAATCTGATAGAGGGACCTCTCAGATTGTGAATCAGAAATTAAATTTGTTTTAAATATGAATGCCTACCAGCTTCATACCACCTGTAATATTCAGTCTTCTAGGGAAAAAAAATTGAATAACACCACCTCTTATTTGTATAGTGCTCTATAGTTTATAGTACACTCATATCTTGTGTTTACAGCAACCAAAAAACATGGTAAGAAGATGTTTCTGTTTTAAGTAGTCTGTTATGAACATAACCTAAACAACATTTCGTGGCAAGATGCTCTATTATTTTATGCACAACTAAGAAGAAAAAAACACTGCCAATTAAACTGTGATGTGCCATCTTGATTTCAAGAGTTGTTCAAATGTGGGAAGAGGAAGTGTCTTGTAATTCCACATTTGCTGAATTTCTTGTCTCATGTTTAGCATACTTGAAGAGTGACAACTTGATCTCTGTTTTAGTGATTCGGAAACTTCATAACAAAGCATATTCAATTGGATTAGCATTGTCTACCCTTTGGAATCAGCTATCTCTTCTTCCTGTTCCGTACTCAAAAGAACAAATACAAATGGATGACTATGGCCTTTGTCAGTGTTGCAAGGCCTTAATAGAGTTTACTAAGCCTTTTGTAAAAGAAGTCATTGATAACAAAGAAAACTCACTGGAAAATGAAAAGTTAAAGGATGAATTACTGAAATTGTAAGTATATTTTTAAGAACATCTCACAATGGACTTAAATAATTGATAGTTCAGTTATTTTATGTTTCTTCACCTTGTTTGACGTATAAATAGAAATCGAGTTTCAGATTTTGAATTTTAGAAGCATATGGGGTTCAACTGATACAGCATGGGAACTTGAGACATTTATGTTATAAAAAATTATAGGCCGGGTGTAGTGGCTCACACATATAATCCCATCAATTTGGGAGACTGAGGTGAGAGGATTGCTTGGGACCAGGAATTTGAGACCAGCCTTGGCAACATAGTGAAACCCCCATCTCTACAAAAATAATTTTAAAAATTAGCTAGATGTAGTGGCATATGGCTGTAGTCCTACTACGTGGGAAGCTGAGGCTAGAGGATGAGTCCAGGAGATGACGCTGCAATGAATGATGATCGTGCCACTGCACTCCAGCCTGGGCAACAGAGTAAGATCCTATCTCTAAAACATTAATTAATAAAATAGTTATAAAACCAAAATCCATTCATTTACTTTATATTCTTCTATGTATTGCCTTTATTCATTATAGTAAGTGAATAATGAAAGTGGAGGAAATAGACACATATAGCTCAAGGTAAGTGTGGGAAGTACATATATGTAGCTCTGTGGAGAAAGTGTGTTTTACTCTTTCAAAGAAAGCAGCAGAAGGACCCCCAGATGGAACATCCAACTTGACGACAAAAATAGTAGTAGCATATCCACCCAACAGCATTCCCTCCATGGGTACTATAGACTATCTACTGTTCAATATGGCTGTAGCACTCGACATACGGCTGGTCCAAATTCAGATGTACTTTAAGTATAAAATGTCCCCTGGATTTTGGAGACTTGTTATTTAAAAAAACAAAAAAACAATAATTTTTATATTGATAACATGTTGAAATGACAATATTTCAGATACATTGAGTTAAGATAAATTACTAAAATCATCTCTCCCATTCTTACTACTTTTTTCATGTGTCCACTAAAGGATCTTAAATTATATATGGGGCTTATGTTGTATTTCTATTGGACAATGCTGGACTAAATTATTGAATTACGTGGACCAGTAATTTTTAAATTTTGCCTACTTGGGAGGCTGATGCGGGAGGATCACTTGAGGCTAGGAGTTCAAGAACAGCCTGGGCAACATAGCAAGACCTTGAAAGATAAAATATAAAATAATGTTTTAATTTTGGAGACCAAAACTGTTTTTAGCTTTCTACTTGTCAGGTTAGGACATTTAGAAAAAATTTACAGCCATACATGGTGGCTCATGCCTGTAATCCTAACACTTTGGGAGGCCAAGGTAGGGGGATTGCTTGAGCTCAGGAGTTTGAGACCAGTCTGGGCAACATAGTGAGACCCTGTCTCTATAAAAAATAAAAAAAATTAGCTGAACACAGTGGTGTGTGCCTACAGTCCCAGCTACTTGGGAGCCTGAGGGAGGAGGATCCCTTGAGCCAAGGAGTTTGAGGTTACAGTATGCTGTTTTTGTGCCATTGCACACTAGCCTGGGTGACAGGGACGCTCTCTCAAAAAAGAGGTTTTTTACCATTGATAAGACTCATTATTTCATAAAAGAAAAGGTATTTTAGCTAAATAAATAGGAAAGGCTTAATCACAGAATAAAGTTTGATTTTCTAAATAAAGCATACAGAGCTTTATGAAAACATAACCATATTTCATGATTTTTTTCCTTGAACTAATGAAAACTACATCATAGACTATCACTGGCCCTCAGACATTTAGAGTTCAATGGAATAGTTCAGATGTAGAAGTCAGTCTTACCATGTTGAGTCTAGCAAGACTAGACTCAACATGTTTTTTCATGTTCTCCCCATTACTCTTAGGAAGGATGTTACATCACCAAGTTTTATAGACCATTGAGTTATTGTTGCTTGTCTTAGTCCATTTGTGCTGATAAAACAGAATACCTAAGACTGGGTGATTTATAATGAATAGAAATTCATGGTTCCCAGTTCTGGAGGCTGGGAAGTCTACAATTAAGGCACTGGCATCTGGCAAGGACCTTCCAGCTGTGTCATAATTTGGCTGAAGGTAAAAGGGCAAAAGGCAAAAGTGGGCTGAATTTACCCTTTTATAACAGCATTATAAATGAGAGTGGAGCTCCTGTGGGCTAATTCCAACCTCTTTATGGCAGTTAAATTTCAACATGACTTTTGGAGAGCATTCAAACCATAACCGTGCTTATGTTATTTTTTCAAGTAAAATTAAATTAGAAGTGAAGAACTAGGGATTTTATATTTGGAAATGTTGATTTCATAGTTACCTATTTCTTATGCCTTAGTTGTTTCAAAAGCTTGAAATGCCCTTTGCTGACAGCACAATTCCTTGAACAGTCTGAAGAAGGTGGAAATGATCCTTTCAGATATTTTGCATCAGAAATAATAGTAAGTACAGCTAATTTAATTTGCTATTATCTCAAATGTTATCCCACTGTATTCTCAGTACTGCCCATGTAAATTGATACATTGATTAATAAATAAACATGTATTTTTTGTAGAGAACACATAAACAAAAGATGGAAAATAAAACAGCAATAATTTTATTATCCAAAGATAAATATTAACATCCTTCATGCTTTTTTCTTATATACTTACAAGAATACACCTATATAAATTTTTAAAGATTTTATATGTATATACTCTTGTAATCTACCTTTTTCCTCTTCAACAGTGTATTATGAATATTTTTCCATGGGCTTAATAGTGTTCCATGGTATGGACTTAGTATAATGTATTTAACCTGTGCCATATAGTTTAATGTTTAGATTGTTTCCAACTTTTCATTATTATAGGACAACTCCAACTTTCTTTCTTTTTTAATTATACTTTAAGTTCTGGCATACATGTGCAGGACGTGCAGGTTTGTTACATAGGTATACACATGCCATGGTGGTTTCCTGCATCCATCACCCTGTCATCTACATTAGGTATTTCTCCTAATGTTATTCCTCCCCTCTCCCCCTACCCCCTTCTATTCCTCCGCAGCCCCCTGACCCCCCAACAGTCCCCGGTGTGTGATGTTCCCCTCCTTGTGTCCATGTGTTCTCATTGCTCAACACCCACTTATGAGTGAGAACGTGCAGTGTTTGGTTTTCCGTTCTTGTGTCAGTTTGCTAAGAATGATGGTTTCCAGCTTTATCCATGTGCCTGCAACATGAACTCATCCTTTTTTATGGCTGCAGAGTATGGTGTATATATGCTACATTTTCTTTATCCAGTTTTTCATTGATGAGCATTTGGGTTGGTTCCAAGTCTTTGCTGTTGTGAACAGTGCTGCAATAAACCTACGTGTGCATGTGTCTTTATAATAGAATGATTAATAATCTTTTGGGTATGTACCCTTTAATGGGATTGCCAGATCAAATAGTATTTCTGGTTCTAGATCCTTGAGGAATTGCCACACTGTGTTCCACAATGGTTGCACTAATTTACTCTCCCACCAACAGTGTAAAAGTGTTCCTATTTCTCAATATCCTCTCCAGCATCTGTTGTCTCCTGATTTTTTAATGATTGCCATTATAACGGGCATGAAATGGTATCTCAATGTGATTTTAATTTGCATTTCTCTAATGAGTGATGATGAGCTTCTTTTCATATGTTTGTTAACTGCCTAAATGTCTTCTTTTGAGAAGTGTCTGTTCATATCCTTTGCCACTTTTTGATGGGTTGCTTCTTTTTTTCTTGTAAATTTTGTTTAAGTTCTTTGTAGATTCTGGATATTAGTCCTTTGTCAGATGGGTAGATTGCAAAATTTTTTTCTGATTCTGTTGGTTGCCGGTTCACTGTAATGATAGTTTATTTGCTATGCAGAAGTTCTTTAGTTTAATTAGGTCCCATTTGTCTATTTTGGCTTTTGTTGTCATTGCTTTTGGTGTTTTAGTCATGAAGTCCTTGCCTATTCCTATGTCCTGAATGGTGTTGCCCAGGTTTTCTTCTAGGATTTTTATGGTGTTAGGTCTTATGTTTAAATCTTTAATCCATCTGGAGTTAATTTTTGTATGCAGTGTAAGGAAGGGATCCAGTTTCAGCTTTCTGCTTATGGCTAGCCAGTTTTCCCAACAACATTTATTAAATAGGGAATCCTTTTCCCATGGCTTGTTTTTGTCAGGTTTGTGAAAGATCAGATGGTTGTAGATATGTGGCATTGTTTCTGAGGCCTCTGTTTTATTCCATTGGTCTATATCTCTGTTTTGGTACCAGTACCATGCTGTTTTGATGACTGTGGCCTTGTAGTACAGTTTGAAGTCAGGTAGCATGATGCCTGCAGCTTTTTAAAATTTTTAAATTTTTTTTTTTTTTTGCTTAGAATTGTCTTTGCTATGTAGGCTCTCTTTTGGTTCTATATGAAGTTTAAGGTGGCTTCTTTCCAATTCTGTGAAGAAAGTCAATGGTAGCTTGATGGGGATAGCACTGACTCTATAAATTACTTTGGGCAGTATGGCCATTTTCACAATATTGATTCTTCCTAACCATGAGCATGTAATATTTTTCCATCTGTTTGTGTCCTTATTTCCTTGAGCAGTGGTTTGTAGTTCTCCTCGAAGAGGGCCCTTACATCTCTTGTTAGTTGGATTCCTAGGGATTTTATTTTCTTTCATTTTTATTAAAAAAAAAAATACAAATATATATGTGTTGGTCAGGCTGGTCTTGAACTCCTGACCTCAGGTGATCTGCCCGCCTTGGCCTTCAAAGTGGTTGGATTACAGGCATGAGCCACCATGCCTGGCTGGGATTTTATTTTCTTAGTAGCGATTGTGAATGGGAGTTCACTCATGATTTGGTTCTCTTTAAGTCTGTTATTGGTGTATAGGAATGCTTGCGATTTTTGCACATTGATTTTGTATTCTGAGACTTTGCGGAAGTTGCTCATCAGCTTAAGGAGATTTGGGGCTGAGATGATGGGGTCTTCTAAATATATAATCATGTCATCTGCCAATAGAGACCATTTGACTTCCTCCTTTCCTAATTGAATACCTGATTTTTCTTGCCTGATTACCCTGGCCAGAACTTCCAATATTATGTTGAATAGGAGAGGTGAGAGAGGGCATCCTTGTCTTATGCGAGTTTTCAAAGAGAATGCTTCCAGTTTTTCCCTAGTCAGTATGATATTGGTTGTAGGTTTATCATAAATAGCTCTTATTATTTTGAGATACATTCCATCAATACCTAGTTTATTGAGGGTTTTTAGCATAATGGCTGTTGAATTTTGTCGAAGGCCTTCTCTGCATCTATTGAGATAATCATGTGGTTTTTGTCTTTGGTTCTGTTTATCTGATGGATTACATTTATAGATTTTTGTATGTTGAACCAGCCTTGCATCCTGGGGATTAAGGTGAGTTGATCATGATGGATAAACTTTTTCATGCGCTATTGGATTCAGTTTGCCAGTATTTTATTGAGGAGTTTCACATTTATGTTCATCATGGATATTGGCCTGAAATTTTCCTTTTTAATTGTGTCTCTGCCAGGTGTTGGTATCAGGATGATGTTGGTCTCATGAGTTAGGGAGGATTCCCGCTTTTTCTATTGTTTGGAATAGTTTCAGAAGAAATGGTACCAGTTCCTCTTTGTAACTCTGGTAGAATTCAGCTGTGAACCCGTCTAGTCCTGGACTTTTTTGGTTGGTAGGCTATTGATTGCTGCCTCAATTTCAGACCTTGTTATTGGTCTATTTAGGATTTGACTTCTTCCTGGTTTAGTCTTGGAAACGTGTAAGTGTTCAGGAATTTATCCATTTCTTCTAGATTTACTGGTTTATTTGCATAGAGTTGTTTATAGTATTCTCTGATGGTAGTTTGTATTTCTGGGGGACCAGTGGTGATATCCCCTTTATCATTTTTTATTGCATCTATTTGATTCTTGTCTCTTTTTTTCTTTGTTAATCTGGCTAGTGGTCTATTTTGTTGATCTTTTTTAAAAATCAGCTCCTGGATTCATTGATTTTTTTTGAAGGGTTTTTCTTTGTCCCTGTCTCCTTCAGTTCTGCTCTGATCTTAGTTATTTCTTATCTTCCACTAGCTTTTGAATTTGTTTGTTCTTGCTCCTCTGGTTCTTTTAATCATGATGTTGGGGTTTCGATTTTAGATCTTTCCTCATTTCTCTTGTGGGCACTCAGTGCTATACATTTCCATCTACATACTGCTTTAAATGTGTCCAAGAGATTCTGGTACGTTGTCTTTGTTCTCATTAGTTTCAAATAACATCTTTATTTCTGCCTTCATTTCATTATTTATCCAGTAGTCATTCAGGAGCAGATTGTTCAGTTTCCACGTAGTTGTGCAGTTTTGAGTGAGTTTCTTAATCCTGAGTTCTAATTTTATTGCACTGTGGTCTGAGAGACTGTTATGACCTCCATTCTTTTGCATTTGCTGAGGAGTGTTTTACTTCCAATTATGTGGTCAATTTTAGAATAAGTGCAATGTGGTACTGAGAAGAATGTATATTCTGTGGATTTGGGGTGGAGAGTTCTGTAGATGTCTATTAGGTCTGGTTGGTCCAGATCTGATTTCAAGTCCTTAATATCTTTATTAATTTTCTGTCTCATTGATCCATCTAATATTGACAGTGGGGTGTTACAGTCTCCCACTATTATTGTGTGGGAGTCTAAGTCTCTTTGTATGTCCTTAGGAACTTTCTTTATGGATCTGGATGCTCCTGTATTGGGTGCATTTATATTTAGGATAATTAGCTCTTCTTGTTTCATTGATCCCTTTACCATTATATAATGCCCTTGTCTCTTTTGATCTTTGTTGGTTTAAAGTCTGTTTTATCAGAGACTAGGATCACAATTCCTGGTTATTCTAGACAGTAGTTCCTCTAGCCTTTTTTCAAGATTCTCAGCTTCCTTGCATGCTCCTTTAGCTTGGAGAAGTTATTACTCACCTTCTGAAGTCTGTTATTGCTATTGTTATTGTTACTGTTACTACCCACCTTCTGAAGTCTGCTTCTGTCAATTCATCAAACCCATTCTCCATCCAGTTTTGTTCCCTTGCTGGAGAGGAGCTGTGATCCCTTGGAGGAGAAAAGATGTTCTGATTTTTGGAGATTTCAACCTTTTTGTCCTGGTTTCTGACCTTCTTCATGGATTTATCTACCTTTGATCTTTGAAGTTGGTAACCTTTGGATGGGGTCTCTGAGTGGATGTCTGTTGATGTTGAAACTATTTATTTGTTAGTTTAACTTCTAACGGTCAGGTGCCTTTGCTGCAGGTGTGCTGGAGTTTGCTAGAAGTTCACTCCAGACCCTGCTTGCCTGTGAATCACCAGCCGGGACTACAGAACAGCAAAGATTGCTGCCTCTTTCTTCCTGTGGTAGCTTCGTCCCAGAAGGGTACCTGCCAGATGCCAGCCAGAGTTCTCCTGTACAAGGTGTCTGTCAGCTCCTGC